ATTATTATTTATTTAATCAGAATACATAATTTTTTTCTCATTGTGTCGGCCTCATATAGAAATAAAATGACATCTCATGTCTTTGAAAAAAAATATTGAGAAGTTAATATATGATCAAATTTATAAGTTAAATTGTCAAATATAAGCTTCAAATATAAAACTTTTTAATTAAAAGTATTATTCAATTGAAAGTTAACTGCATTAATTTACAATTTTTTCCCCTATAAATCCATGTAGAAGGATAAAAATCACATTATACTTGATTACATTTAATATCATAATTGATTAAAACAAGATATTATATTTTTTATAAAATAAAAAAAGTCTTTATTAATCAATTGATACACTCTGTAATGTGTTAAAACAAAAGGTTAATATTAAAAAAACACATTTACATTAAAAAAATGTGTTTTTAAACGAAAAAAGTTCAATTACCCTATTTACCATTTTGAAGCATAAAAAAATGTTTAGTTGATTTTAAAATTTATAAATTTTCTTATCACTTTATATCAATTAATCTTTAAGATAGATAAGTTTTCTTACTTCAAGGACCCACACAACTAGAATTATCAAAGTGATTTTGACCTGTGGGTCAACTTAGTCCACTTTAGGTCGAATCGGACAAAAACTAAAAATTTCATAATTGATTGAAAAATTTGACCGACTCACTTTTAACCCAATCCAACTTAGCCGAATTCGTAGTAGGTTGGATTGTCCATCTAACCTACTTACATCTCTCATTAATCTAATCCACCAATGATCTACTTAACCATTTATTGTTATATGGGTATTATTTAATAAGGTGTCACTTTTTTTTGTAGATGAAGATAAAGTTGATATTAAACACATGAAATTATTTAAAAATTTATCTACTCAAGCCTCCAATGAAGTTTAATATTGACGGACAACCACTCCAACGATAATTTATTTATTTATTTATTTATTTTTGTATATTTAAAGTTGTATATTTTTTTTAATTAAGTTTAATGTTGTATGCATGATACTTAATTTGATAATTTTTATTTTAGATTGAAAGCTATTTTAGATTGAATTTTATTTTAGATTTAAAAAAAATTTATAAAAAATTAGGTGGGTCGGTGGTTCAATTCGCTTAGCCCACCAACTTGTGGTGGGTGAGGTCAAGCTAAAAAAATTTAGGCATTAACGCATGTGGATTAGGTTGGACCAACTCACTTATAAAGTGAATTGAGGTGGGCCGAACCGAATTGACTTGTTTTGATAGCCGTACACACAACTAACTCCGAAAAAAAAAGTTACATGATCATAAGCTAAAACTTAACTTCATGCAATCCTCTTCAAGTCTTTCTTCCATCATCAATAATAGGTAACTAGTGAATCCAAAGTGACCAAAACAAATTCAATCACTTTGATTCAGATTTTTTTTAGTGTTTGGATCATATCAAACTCAACCCGACGTTCAAACATGTTCATGTACATATTGGATAACAAGTTTTGATTTTTAAATTTAACTCAACCTAATCCAACCTAAACACATGACATATTAAATTTATTATTATTATTATATACATTTTTAAATAAGATTAAAATACTTTTTTAGTCTATATAATTTCACTTACTTTATCTTTTAATCTCTATAGTTTAAACTAGACATTTTTAGTCCATATACTTATTTTGTTTTCAATCTTCTTTAGTTTTTGTAATTTATGATAAATCTTTATTTTTTTTTTTTGTAAAGATAGGAAAGATTACAAAGATGGTCGGAATGAAGATTAAACCTAAGTCTTTATTCTTCTAACTACCCTAACCCCTCCCCACCCAACCACTAGGCTAACCATAGTGGTCTTATGATAAATTTTTATAATCTCTATACTTGGTGATTTTTAATCTTTTTAGTTCTTGTTATTATTATTTTTATATATAAATTTGACATCAAACTCAGAAAGTTTAATTAATAATCTGTCATGCCAACAAAAAACTGAATGTTACAAAAAAATAAAAGAATGATAAGGACTAAAATAATTACAAAACTGTAAGTATAGAAACTAAAAAGATTTATTTTAAATTATAAGAACTGAATAAGATTAAAAAAATAAGTATATGAACTAAAAAGTTATAGTTTAAACTATAAGGACAAAAGGATAAAACAAGTAAAATGTGACACCCTCTACCTCACATACTAACATAGGCATATAGAGTAACAAGATGGAAAAGTATTCAAAAATAAACTATACGGATTAAACAAATGTTTGAAAATCTTCTTGGATAAGGTATCACATAGTAATATATCACTAAAAGAACTAAGACAAATGTTCAATATAGCAATTACAAAATGAAATCTAACATGAAATTTTAAACATAAAGAAACCAACAAAATGGAATCCTAGCTAAACTCTGATATCATATTCTAGCACTTTCACACAAGGTTTAAGCCTTCATTACTACAGGATGTATTATTTACATCGATTCTGCGAGGTAATCTACATCGGTTCTAAAACTGATGTAAAATTGAGCGACTTAGAAATACAAACACTTCTACATCGATTTTGAAACCGATGTAGATTTGTGCAAAATCTACATCGGTTGTCAGAAAAATCGATGTAGATTTGAGCACAAATTTACATCGATTGTTAGTACAACCGATGTAGATTTTGCACAAATCTACATCGGTTCTATTGACAACTAATGTAGATTGCATTATTAAAAAAAAAAGCTTCATTTATTTTTTTAGATTCTTTCTGATTACCTGTAACAAACATATATACATATATATATATATATATATATATATATATATATATATATATATATAAATCTCAAACAGAAATTATATGGTGCACTATTCTACTCAATTGTGTTGTTTAAGTACAGTGGATATATAAAAAACACAGTGAAAAATATTTTTTATTTCAAAAATAAATATTTAAATGATTTACCCTATTGACTCTTGGTCAAATTAAAGATTTCAAATTTTGTTTTGTTTTGTTTTAATTTACTCATATAAGAGGTAACAATTGGAGGGAAAGAAAGGTATCCCCACCGTTGGTGGAGACACGACTACCACTTCAAACAAGTGGCAGTTCAAGTTTTCAACAACTGAATCAATTTAGAGCATTAAAGTATTAAATTAACACAATCTCTTACTAATTAATTTGATGGAACAAAAAATTTAATTTAATACTTTAATGATAAAAAAAATTCAATATAAGGAAAATTAAGTCATTAAAGTATTATGATTGGCATATCTTTGTGTGGTAACTAACAACCTTCATGTGGTTTGACACCAATCTTTCAAATTTTGTGACAAAATTAGATACATAACTTGCTTTATGCATGGGTGGGGAAAATATATAAGCAATTCTAGGAATGTCCATAGATTAATTAGAAGGGAAGGCATTTTGATGATTAAACAGTGTATGCCAGGCAAACTCATTTTCCTAACTCCCAACAAAAAAACAAAATATGCTTAGAAGACTGATATATGAAAGTATTGGCAAATATATCGAAAACAAAAAGATCACTCAATCAATTTCACTAATTCAAATTATGTAATTAGAACCTTGCCAGTGCAAATATTTAAACTTAGTTTCAAGCTACCATGTTCTTGATAGTCAACGTCAAACAAAAATATAAATCAATTTGTTGATAAAGAAAACAGTCTAATATGCTATAGCCCAAAAACTAGACTTCGACCCTATTTAGATAAATTTATGCACGAGTACTTCAAATTCAACAAGCAAGACATAAAGTTGTTCTCTTATTAAGTTGCTAATTAATAAATTATCTTGTCAAATCACATATTATACTTCACATTGAATCAAGCAAGACAGACAATTATGATTCTGTATTAGAAATTGTGTGATGTCAGTTATTCATAAAAAATAACTTATGGCAGTTATGTATTTAGAGTATATCTGATAGTTGGTTGTGTGATTAGCCAAGTGTGTAGTTAGTTACATTTTGTGGACAGAGAGTACTCTCTATAGGAGACTTTTGTCTGAGATAGCAAGTATATCGTTGTACTGTGTGTGATTTCAGTGTTCAATATTATATTTGGTAGATTAATTTATCAACTGGTATTCTATCATTTTGGTCCAACCAGCAGAATCATTAGAAAGGGAGATTTGTTAGGCTAGTCAGTTGATCATATTCGACAGAAAATAACTGATTCTGTATTAGCATTTATGTATTAGAGCGTGGTTCTGTATTAGAAACTACATGGGACAGATGCAAAGAAAATAACTGATGGTGTTATGTATTAATTAGGCAGGTGTGTTCTTATTTGCAGTTTGTGGACACCGAATATTTTTTGCTGCAGACTTTTGTATGTGGGACAGCAAGTGTAGTACTATATGTTGTGTGACTCTAGTGTTCAATGATATATTTTACTAATATATCATTTGATGTTCTATCATAGTGCTATATTAACATTTTAGACATATAAAAACTCAGGAATTGCTGTACTATTATAGATTAAACTCTACATCTGTGCACTAAGCTTTCATTATTGATCTACATACAATCCAATGACTCCACAATCTAACGTAGGTTCTTTGCTTTTCTTATTTCCTGAAATGAGTTTGTGCATAGATAAGGACATACAAAAAACACATGATTTCTGATTTACTTCTAAATTGGTAAAAATATACAAATTAAAGTGTACTCAATCATATGCATACTATTATTATTTGTTAATGTAGAACATAAAAACAGAGCAGTGCACACTAATCAATCATATGCATACTATTATTTGATTTTCATCGGGATTCAGGATACACTTGGAACATGAAATCAAATAAGTAAACACTCCATGCATACTATTATAATTTGGCATTGCCAACATATTGGTCTGACGAATTTTTAGGCATGAACCTAGCTCAATTAAGACCAGCTTATTTAGACAAAACATTAAAAAAATGAATATTATGCACGCATGTTGCTGTTACATGGTCACATCTTACAATTTTCAAAGTAGAAAATTAAAACTAACGGATGTTATACTATATATTATGAAACATAGCATATCAATATAAATATATTATCATGTTAAGTAAAAGGTATTCCTTTAAGCCAAACATTTTATTATTTATTACTAATTACAAAAAAGAGAGAATGCTTTATAATGCTTTGTGGCAACATGCCAAGCAGGGCTTACCCAAAGCATGTCTCGGATCCAACCAAATAAACTTGTATAAGCTAAAACTTACATATACCTACTTCCAAAAGCGTGTAGTCAAAAACAACAAAAAGTTTATACAAATTCTTCATTGTTCAATTGACTTATATATTTCTATCTACCACTTTGGGAGCCAAACCATCAACAACCTTAGCAACATCTTCATCAGTAATTCCTTCAAAAAAACCAATAGGTCCCTACTAGAAAGAAAGAATGCATCAAGTGTCTCTTACAAAGAAAACTAGTCAAATGAAAAAATTAAACCACCATGAGAAATGTCAAAGATAACAAACCTTAGCAATCATGTCTAGAAATTTCTCTGTAAGGTCTTCAATGTTGGTTCCTCCCTTTCTACAAGCAATAATAATCTAAAAAAGCAAAATCATAAAAAGAAAAGAATTGCAGTAAGCAACATGACTTCTTATTGATTAAATTTAAAGAAACCATAATAATGGAATTAAATATGATATACAAGTTATACGAATTTAACTCAGTATATAAAGAAAATCAAAGATAACACAATAAAATAGGAAACTTACTAGACTAGCACTTGTTCGATCCAGTGTTATAGCAAAGTACATCTCATTTACAGGTGACAACTTTTGGCACATGTAAGCCTATATAAAATGAACAATTCAATATTAAACAACCATCACTCTTTTGTGAATATTTCTATAAAATGAATTGAATGAAACACAAAATAAGACAGAGTAGCAGCTGTTATTGTGTATCAAAATTTAAAAAATAGAGAAACAAGAGAAACTAAGAATTACATAAAGTATTTGCATTATCACATTGACATGAAATTTACTTTCAATATCAAATACAGCAAGAGTTTAGAATCCAATGGAACAAATAGTAAGCACACATGGTTACTAGTTTATAATTTAAATTGAATAACAATTGATAGGAAATATTTTAAAATAATGAATGTCCAGTTGACCAGTCAAAGGACTCAATTCACACAGGTTCATCAGCTCAACTGCCAGGCTACTCCAGTTCATGTGTTGAAGTCAATCTACATAAAACCAGATTGGTTTGATGGCCACTTGAGTAGTTCAGCTAGCAGAGTCACTCCAAAAAAAATAATTGGCAAGTAACACTTGAAGAACCAATTTATGCATAATATATATGTGAAGGTTGATATCATTGCATTGCTTCACCAAAATTTCAATTTCTATAAATGAAAATTCCAGGTATACACATGCATACTAAAATTGGTTACATATTTTCATATAGAATGATTGAATAATCAAACCTCGCCAACTATTTTTCCCTGAGGATCGGTCTATTTGGTAACAAGTACTTGTCCAAACATCTTCCCTAAAATAATAATAACAGCCATAACAACAATAAAATAATAATATCACTAAGAAAAAACATTACTGAAAATTAGATTATAGAGTATTATATCCTCTAGAATTTAATTGAACAAATGCTGATTTCGTGTTTCCTCACCAATTGGACGCTATGATTTCGATTATCAATGTTCGTCAATCAATAAAACCAAAAGAGTTTTAACAAATAAACATCCACATTTTCACAAAATATATATTCAAGGAACTCCATATTTATCATCCACAAAAGCGATTTATTATTATTGAAAAGAAATACATGTACGGAAGAATGACATGAATCAACAGATTTTGTCAAACTTGGAATTGATTCAGAAATTGTAATGATAATAACAAGTGAGGAGCATAGAGAGACTTGGTACTCATGGATGTTGAGGCGACGGAGCTGGTTGTGTTGCCACTTTTAGACAATAGAGAGGGAGCGAGAGACAAGCTTGTTAAGCAATTGTCTCCGCTGGAGTTAAAGCATGTTGGCCACAATGTTGAGGGCGCAGGCAAAGGGGAAAATGTGAAGGGGCCAGATTAATGGTTTTTGAAGAACTTCGAGGAAGCCGTTGTGTTTGCGTGGTGCTGGGATCGAATTTGATTAAGTGTGGCTGTGCAGGTGTGTGTTGGTTGCGGAGAAGGAATTGACAAAGTTGAAGTAGAGGAGAAGGGGAAAATGTGAAGGGAACGACGAAGTGGCAGCAAGGAGGTATAATGCATAGAGTGAAGCCAGGAAGTGGAGTCTCGAGTTAGGGTTTGGCCGTGTGATGTGTTTTGAGTATACTACATCGGTCCCTTCAAAAACTGACATAAAACATGACATATCTACGTCGTTTTTGCTTTCAACCCATCTAGATATATTAACATTTTACATTTATTTACAAAAACGTCACTCCATTTTATTTTTACATCATTTTTATATCAACCAATGTAAAAATGGTGATGTAGAATAGTACTTTAGTAGTGCTTGTTACTATCATCATCAATATCATGATGATCCTAACTTGCAACACATACACGAGTACCAACAAAAGAAAAAGAGAGTAAGAAACATTTCATCAACATAGTTGGATAGTCACACACATAATATCAAGAAATAACAACAATAACACACAACACACATACATGTGTGTATGTATGTATGCATATATATATATATAT